AAAATAAGAATAATACATTTCATTTTCAAGCTTTTACAATTTAAAACTGATCGTTAAATTTAATATAATAAAAAATGTGCCCTCGGAAATATTATTTTATTCGATTTATGTAATAGGTGTTTAGGCTGTCTGAATGTTTTCAATCAATTTTTCGCGTGGTCATTCTTTCCCTTGATAATGCTTTTCCGTAAATACATATTTTATAGCCGTAAAAATATAAATGTCGTTAGTATAATATTCAATTAATCATTATTTCATTGTAAAATATTTTCATTGCACTGCAGACTGCAGAGTACCTATTATTATTTGTAGATGATGCAAGATTTAAAGTTATTTGGTGTTATATTGTCGAAACTCATCCAATTTATTTTATTTATAACAGGTACAACACGAGTAGGTGACTTAAAATACTGAAGTTTATCATAATAATATAATAATTGTATCTTTAGGTAATTTGAATTATTTGATTTGTAACATATGAAATTTAATTGTCCGGTTTAAAAGTAGAAAAAATATTGTTACATCTATGTAAATAAACGTTTGTTGACCGATGAAAAATTAAACTAGTCGATACTCATATTATATGTTATAGATACGGAATTACACTTAATTTTTTTTTTTTTTGATGTATTGATTAAAATTGGGTACCTTTCATACCTTTACTTAAAAGTACACGAGGAATTAAATACTCGACCTCGTATAGCCGTATCATCACACAAAACATTCTAAACTCTTAAAGTCTAAACACATACGCGTCGTTCACAAGTATGTTTTCGGTGAAATATTTGACATTTATTTTGTTATATAATATTAAATATTAAGCCATGCTTGAGCTTGATACGGTATCGCTCACGAATGATCGAAAAAAGTTAATAATCTTTCTTAAATTCATTGGAAAGGAACACTATTCAACTATGAAATAAAGCTCGTTCGTCAAAATTCATAAATTCTATCTATAATCAATATTAAATTTCAAATAAAAATAAAAATGACTTTTCCAATAATTGAAATTGAATTATTTAGTTGAGTTGCCAACAAACTGTCAAGTGATGTACGACAATGAATTAGTATTGGATATATAATATTATACGCAGGTAAAAACTACAAACATAAACACTTGTAACGAAAATCGATACGATGTATAATCCTGCATGGCATACGAGTACTCGAGTACCTACTACGAGTATGAGACGTATATCGTATACACTACGTGTAGGTTGCACAAGTAATAAGAGTGTCGAAGAAAATAATATAAATATTATATTATATGAATTGAAAATTATTAAAGCATTTTGTTTGAAGCATTTTATTATAATATTGTATTGCGCAGTCCAGTCGTTTGCAAGGTATCGAGTGGCCGCCAACAATGGACAATGGAAATAGGCCAATTCTATAACAACACGAAGCTAAAAACACATCGTAACAATGAGTAATGTCACCACTCACCGCAAAGCTATTATGCATATACCTACATAAACCGTCTCCTGCGAAACCTGGGTACAAGGTACTAGGAAAATCGTTTTCCTAGGTATGTTTATTGTATATTATTTATTTATATTATATACATAAATATATAATATACTTATATAGTTTTCTAGTCGTGATTTTCAAATACGTCGTCTCTGCAGTAGCCCCGGAAAATAATAACCAGCTCTTGACTACACAATTGACGGTGTATACGCCATTCATTATAATAATAAGAATAAAAGCATAATTTCTTACCTTGGAGGATCTGACGTTGTTGCTATTATCATCATATTATCATAGTATTATGATTATTCGACATTTTGATGAACGCGAAACAAATGAAGTGTATTGTATACGTCTGTAAATATCGACATAGCAGTTGCGGTATTGTCATCACCTAGCCGTCGTCGAAGGATTCACTTCCGTCGTTCACGCTTAGGAGGATGAGACAGCAATATCTTTGCGCGTACTCCAGCGTTTCTCAAACTGTGGGTCGAAACCCACTGGTGGGTCGAGAGAAGTTATAGATTGTAAGAAATGTGTTCATTATATACCAATATTATATTCATAGTAATTTACCAACAAACAAAGTAATAAGTTATAATAGTAGTAATCAAATTTTGTTTTTAGAATTAATTTTTAAATTTTAAGCCATGTGCATCGCGATAGATTTTTGGGGATAATTTTGGGTCGTGGTCCTAAAAAGATTAAGAACCACTGACGGTACACACCTTTGGCTTGGTAGATTGCAGTACCGACCAGCACAATGCACAAGCTGTACACACTGCGTGAGTGCAACTATTTAAATGTTCTCCATTTGGAGAGTTTCAAATATAGACATATTAAAGTCGCTATTTCTACCGGATTAGAAATTAATTGTTAATAACACCCCGCGGTTACCTGCAGTGTTTACTATTTCGTTCTTGAGCGTCGCTTAAGGGTGAAAATATTTGACGAGTAGCTTGACAAAAGATAATATTATACACAGCCACACAGGTAATCGCGTTGAAATGGAAAAAAAATGTTTAGCGTATAATATATGCTGTTGTGTGGGGGTTTGCACACAACCCGCTCTAAGACGTATATAAAAATCACGAATATTAATCGAAAAATACGATATGATATTATATTATTATGTTTCGTCGCACATCATTATATAAAATATGTATATTACCTAACTCGTGGGCAGATGCGACGGTTTCGCGCGTGCTTTAATATCGTTGTCGTGCGCTGCAAACGACAATAGTTGTACAGTAGTTGTTGTAGGCAGCTATATATATCTAACGCACTCGCGTATGCATGTATACCTATTATATGTTTTATATTAATATAATATAATAGTGTAATAATAGTAATATGCAGGTAGGTACTGTCGCACGCGATAGACGAACGATTTTTTGACGGACGTGTGCTTATAGAATATCGTACAAAAAAAAAAAAAAATGTTAAATTACTGTAGAATAATATATATTTTGGGGAAGAAGAAATGTCACCGTGCTACCCTCATGCACATTTTATATTATATTATTATGTGCGACGGACAACGACTTGTCACAAACCCACACACACTCACACACGCACGCATGGACGGCGTCTCACGCACACACGTAATCAATTACGTTATTGTCGTATACATATTATTTACGAAGATATAATATATATATATATGTGACGTGCATATTATATAATATACACTGCAGCGTGTGTCCCTGCGGGGCTTTCGGGCAATTATTTATTTACACAAATTGACCATAATTACGGTTATTATCGAGGGGACGGGCGGCGGCGGGGGCACTTGACGCCCTCTAACCCCGCCCGGCGGCGACGGCAAATAAAGAGCGTGCGCGCGCGCGCTTGCACACACACATTCACTCACCGTAAGGCCATCAAACGGCAGCCGCGGCGGAGGAGGCATCCAGTCAATTCCGCACATAATATATAATAATTCGATTACGATCGAATAATGGTTTTTATTTTTTGTACTTTTTCCGACCCTCCTCGTCGGTGGGGGGTCGCCGATTTATATTACCCATACATATACACCACAACCGATTGTTTTCGAAACTTCATTATGTTATATATTATTATTGTACATTACGTGTTTACGCGGTATACGAGTATACATATATATATATATACACGTATATTGTTGCGTGTACGTAATGACGTGTGGCCGCCGAGGTTTGGAGTTGGGACGCTTGCAACGACGACACGTCGACGGCTCATAAATTAATATTTCTATATCATATAGGTATATGCTATTATTATTATAAACGACATAATTACGCCGCCGCCGCAAACCGGGACGATATCGAAGTCGGTATCGTATTTGACATAGGTATCGTGTTTATGCGCGTTTTGCAAGTCCGAGGACAAACATTGTACCTATTTATAGTATATATATATACTATTTTAGTTATATACCTAGGGGAAAAGACAATAAATAAACGTCAGTTTTTGATGTGATAATGACAACAGAGTTATATATATTATTATTTTTTTTTTTACAATAGACAGGTTTGATGATCATAGGGAACGTATACAATAACAACAAAAAAAAAAGAAAAATATTTTCAACTTTGGGACAATAGTAAAACAATAACATTTTTTATCGTAAATCTAATTTTTCATAATAATAATAATAATAATAATAATAATAATACATGGTTTTCTGTGAAAACCGTTCACAGACAAAAGGGACTTTTCTCTATAATACAATATAATATATATACGGTACAAATTATATTCACGTCCACTGCAGCGCAGCAATAGTTTACGATTTGTGGGGCTTTTAGGACACGAAACACACGGGGCATATTACAAATAATCGTAAATGTTATAAATAGTTAGAGGTGTGTTATATCATATAAATATACATACATAAATGCATATTTATATTCTAGGATACATCTAGCCGGTTACACTTTATAAACTTTAATCAAAAAAACTCGTGACCGCTGATTTCCATGCGACCAACATTACGACTGATGTATTTAGTATATTTTATCGAGGAAAAAAACCTTGCCCGACTCGGAAGTTTTTTTACATATACTCTATGTACACCGAAAAAGCAAAATTTTTTACAATATCAATTTACTCTAACCTACAAAATACTGCGTTTTATATGCCTACACTCGAGTTATGTATATACACATATTTTTATGCACGAAATAATTTTAAAGGTTTATGTATATTTTAAATCCGTTACACAAGTTATAAATATTCTCTATTTTATACATAATAACATTTTATTTTCGAAAAATATAATAACGCGTATTGCGGTGCGCGGTTTTAATTTTTTTTTTTAATTTTTAGTATTTTTAAGTTATTATGCGTAAAGATGTTTTGCGCTATAATAATACAATATAGTGATATATAATTATAATAATAATAATAATAATAATAATAACATTATGGCACGGTTCTAATAATTTTACCTCCGTTCGACAGAACAACATTCTTATATTATATTGTGAGTGTTAGGGCATAAATCTGTGGAGACGGTTGCGATCGATGTACATGTATACATTATCTCACCAGACAATGCCTTCGTTCTGCAAGTTTGGCGCGTCAGAAAACCCACTGCTACTACCACCTGTGAAAACAACAAATTCGAACATTATACATAAATGTTAGTTAGGTTTTTTCTAGCACGATAGTGTAATAATAAAACGGTAATAATATGATGTGTAACCGCGTGGGTATATGTTATTATGTAAATATTCACAATATATAATATTCATAACACGCCTTTTCAGACTTTAAAGTGTATAGATGCAATACAATAACGAATGTCATCGATTTATACATTGTGTAATTGGCAAGTCCGCCGTGCAAAAACACACAGGCGCGAGATTCTTATATTATAATACAGAGAAGTTTAAAGTGTTTTGTTTGTTCGTTCGATTTTTTACGGAGTCTGTATGCGGTGCAGTATATTGGTATTATAAACGTTTTGTACGTAGATATATTATGATATGTATAAGAGACAATAATGTAATATATACGAAACAGTTTTGAACGAATGTTTATTTTTATTCTATACCAGTTGTATATAAGCTTCATAAAAAATTTTTCTTTGCATTGTAATCTGTCCGGTACAATATTATTATTCTAATAATATGCTTTGACAGTCATAAAACGTTTATACGGCCATTGTATAATTTTACATATAATATTTGGAGATAAATATTAGGTAGGTACTATACGATAATAAAATCTATATTTTACTGCAATAGGTATAGATTTTAAAATGTATAAATAATTTCTAAGCATATATTTCACGTTATAAAAATCCTTTATAATATTATAATATAAAATATGTGGACGCCTAAGTGTTTTCAACTGATTTTAACGTTGTACCCACCTATATAGAGATCATAATATAATATATTAAAATATAGAATGTGCGTCATCTACCACTATCGTATAATATACGAACCGTTTATTAGATTTACATAGCTACTTGTTTTTAAAAATTACAATAATTATTATCGTATTATTATACGTTTATAACGGTGATTGAGAAATTTGTCAACAGCGTGGTTTGCGCATATTTTAAAATGCAGTACCTGCCTAACTACTATTATTATACTATAACGCCACAAGAGAATAGTGTGCAAATTTGCACAAAGAGCCGTGCTTGCGGGACGTTTTTTCTGACGACGATAAAAAATGACGAATGAATAAAATATTATGTCATTTGTAAATTTACTTGCCTTGGGAGCCCATGAACTCTGACGGACTGCCCGGCCTTTGTGACACGAGCTGCTGGTCGTTTGCCTGCTGTTGCTGCGCAATGAAGCCAGGTGGAGCGTCTTGGCCCATGCCAGGATAGTCGGGTCCCATTCCAGACATCGGGTTGGAATCCATACCACCTACGAAAAGACGAACAAAAACGGAGAGGTTAGCGAAAATATTTTCTACAAATGCCTTATACAGTTGTACATGCAAACGCGTTTCGATCGCGTGCGCACTATCTGTACAATATAATATAATATCGCATAAGATTATGTAAACGTGTCCGACGTTGACAACGACATATCGTTAGTCTTATTACTCCCGCTGAAAGGTAGTCACGTAAGTTTGTTTTTGTTCCCTATATAAATACACTATCGTCGGTGGTCAAAACGACTAAAATATAATATAATATTATGCATAATAATACTATTATGTGTTTCGTCTGCAGTATAGTATGTTATTTTTGGGTGGTTTTGGTTTTACCGACAGGTAACTGCGTAATTATTAGATATCGGACGTGCATTTCCGACAATCGTCGGTTTCGAAGACAACGGAAAAATAATATATTTTGACCTTTGGGAATATTGTATTTTTCTGAAATATTATTACTCTAGTAGGCATTGCTCGTGCAGTGTGTCATCGTACATACTTATTATACATTTAGTACCTATTTTCGAAATTAATTAAAAGGCGGTTTCGGAAGTATTTTTACACAGTACGTCCTCGTATTATCGGACGCAACATGTGTACCGAATGTAATTTAATTTTTCGTCAAAGCACACATCAATCGTTTTATATAATTAAATAATTTGGCTTTCTCGTCTAATTATTACAGTTTATACGAGTGGTGGCAGTTTCTTAAAATAGTAAAATGTCCTAAAAACGTCTCTATATCATATCATGATGCCTGTATTATTAAAAATAATTCAAGCTGTCAGGTTCTCAAAGTTGTATACTGCGCTCTTATACAGTCTATTTTGGAGTAGTCCAGTCCCTTTCCCCAACCATTTCCATCATAATATTTTACTCTTGGTACATTGGTTTAAAACGTGATGTATTTACTCACCTATTATAGGCAATAGGCAATAGCCACCATAATATATGTGCATTATATTGTTTAAAAAATTTTTTATAGTAAAGAGTAAAGACCATATTATTATAATTATGATTGTCGTAGTATATTCGTGTCAATATGCAATTTATATTACATATTGATTGCAATGAGCATAATATAGGCGATGTTTACCTGGGTGTCCGAAGGGTCCTCCGGGTCCGCCGCCGCCGTGTGGACCGCCGTGATGGCCGAAGAAGTCAGGGTGGAACGATCCGGGCCCGTAACCGAACTCAAACTTGACTTCGGCAGAGCCAGCGAAGTACGGGAAACCGGGTTGCTGGTCGTCCAGCGATCCGGGGCTCATGTTCAACGGGAACCCTCGCATTTTCCGCGCACCACCGTAAAACGGCCCTCGGCCCATGGACGTCAGCTGTTTCAGCCGCCGCTCTTTGCTCCTCTTGTTCTGAAACCACACCTGCGGAAACAACCGAAAACGTAAATATTATGTTAATTATGTGATATCGATCATCGATGATCGTTTTCGCGTCCTATGACCTAGGTAATATAGGTATACCACTGCAGCGGCCGCGAGTATTATATAATAATATTATGTTTGTTCATGAAATCTAGCTATCATTTTCGATGGATAAACATGTGCTATTAAACAATGCCAACTGCTCGGTGATGTAGCCGTGCTTCAACGTGAAAAGAAACAACAAATTTATTGAAAACCGGTTTCTATATATACACTCTTTTCCATAGTGGTAATTTGTTCTATCGAACACTATTTGACTCTCATAATTCGTAATATTTGATAAATAATAATAAATAACGTTTGTGTATAATTTATTATTCACGCCGCGTGCATTACATTACAATAAACAATATCAAATCGCCTGTACCTATGTATACGTATAAGTTATATATTATGTACGTCGTATTTTTTGATAAAGCTTACAACAAAAAGTTATGTCGTTATTTTTTATAAACATTAAATCGAATAAACTATTTTACTGCTCGAGTTCTCGTCAAAAATAATATTGGTAAATTATCTTCAATAAATAATCCTGCAGTCGGAAACGACAATGTAAATTTTTTTTAAGCGATTGGTAATGTTCGTCATTAGGTATAACGTTTTTCGATACACTACAGCGAGAGAGAAATAATAATAAAAAACAGAAGACTCAATTTCTACCTAATGTATTTTTAATGATTTTCTTTTGGTTTCAGAGCGGGGAAAGGCGCGTTAAACATTGATTGATGGCCGATCGTAAAGACTGGTGGAAAAAATGAAATAAAAGCGCGTGCACGTTGTGTGTGACCTCACTAAAGTCTTTGGGATTTTTTTTTCTTCGTAGACCGACCACAACCCTGGTCCAGAGCCGGGAAACCGCCGTCACTCACTGCTGGACCTCCCTGGCTGTGGTTAAAACCGACGGAGAGACAAAAAGAAAAAAAAAACAATCAAGTACACACGTCGTCGTTTTCTTATGCGCAAGCACACGCGCGATAATGACCGCAGCTCGTAAAGACGAAAACACGCATTGTTGACCACAGGACAAGGAAAAACCGCATGATAAACGTCATACCACACGCAAAATCGTATGATATATAATATATTATATGCGCTTTGTCTACACACATAGTACCTATGGCAAATATAACAACTGCAAAAGTACACTAAGAGAATACGATTAAAACGTACAATTTTTGCCACTCACGTAAACCGACGTCTGACTATTTGCAGAGGAATTCCAGATGCAGGTAAGTAAAATGTCGAAAGACTAAAATATTCTATAATTAAATCGTGATCGAGGATATTCTATAATATTTTATTCTTTATAGCTTATATAGTTTTCTAAAGTATATTATTATATATATATATATATATGCAGATAATATAAGAATATTCAAAAATAAAACCTACACAATTCTACAAATACTGCGATGTATGTGTCCTGTACCTCTTTATATATGCTTGTATTTATAAATATTAAAATTCTCTTACGAATTAATATCAATCATAGCATATTATACGTCATTATTATCATCTCCGCGTATACCTGAGTCGCGTGAGTGCCGGCGTATTGCGGAACGAAAAAAAACCTTATTGTGTGTGGTACGAAAAATTATGCGAATTTCCATAAGGTTATTTCGCGTTTTGTACATTACGTACGAATGCATAAACCTATGTTTATATTATAATTTATATATATATGTATGTGTATTTATTATTTATATCTACTGTATAATTTGTTATTCCGTTCGTAATTCGTATTGGTGGTGCTCGGGTATATAATATATTAAGAAGAAAAAAATACATATATATACATAATGTATAATGCCGTGCTCAATGTGCGTATATATATATATATATTAATAAATAAAGTCGTTAGCCTTCCGACCGGAGCAAACGTGAGAATCATAAACAAAGCAACGGTCGGAGGAGGAGGGAAAAAAATATAAGGAAAAAAGGAGTAGAGACGAAAAATAATTAAAATCGCACGGTTTTTTGACGAGGGATCCGACGCGGAACGCATTGCCGCCGACTATATTTACGTGTTAATCTACAGTTGTGCCTATATAAATATATACATAATGTAGAGGAGACTCGGCGCGTTTTGTAGGTATATATAATATCATCGGCGAAATAAACGTTCGGTAAACGCGTCGGAACGAGTCGTTTTACTCGGTTTATCAAAATGTCATCAAAGTCCATTACCGTCGTCGTCGACGTGTCAAAAATCTGGCGCTTGTCGTTTTCTATATAATATTATATGATGGGCGTCGGCAGCGGCGCGTCTCGCATGCGTTAACTCAAAGCATATATTATTATTATTATTTCTGCTGTGTATACCACACACATTAGTGTTACGATATACCGGTGTATACCTATAATATGCCTATGTATAGCTAGTGCTGCAGCGTAGGATAAATGTTGGATTTGTAATATGCACCAGACGCTGGAAAATATTTGAAACGCGTCATGATGCACTTGGTAAATTATTATTATAGCCTTTCGGAGAAAATATATATATATTATTTTTATCGGCACCATCCCGAAACAAATACATATATATATATATATATATACGAATCGCTGCAGTCGCACTGCTGCACGGGCGTTGTGCGTATATAGTGACAGTTAATTTAGAGAGGTGAATTTACGACTTTCGTCCGTCCGTACCGTACTGTATCGTCCGTATCCACACGGTGTATATAGGTACCTATATATGTATAATATAATCTTTGACACGCGCAGTCGTTTTAAATGCATTATCGCGGCGTGTGTGCCGAAAAAGCACGTGTTCTATACGCACATATAAAATATATAATATAATATTATGTATAAGAACGTACGACAAATGAAACACTGCGTACTCGAAGCCATGGTCCGAATCGGTATTAAATTTTATTACATACTATAATATATGCTGCTATGAATATTTTAACTATAAAGTATCTACCTGTATGACTCTCATGGGCAGGCTGGTCTCTTTGGCTAATTGTTCGCGGATGTGCCTGGTAGGTTTGGGCGTTTGCGAAAAGGCCGTCTTAAGTATTTCTAGTTGTTTGGCCTTGATGGTAGTTCTGGGACCCCGTCTCTTGGATCCGGAATTGCCGTCGTCCGGCGATTTGTTCTCCGTTTGACTGTCCCTGGTCTCCGGGTCACCATCCAAAGAACCTTTATCAGGAAAAGACAAATTTATTATTAATTATATTATATTATTTATAATAAATTTTCCAAACACGTAGTAATGCTTGGTCACGTGTATATATATTATAATTTATATAGTTCAGTGAACGGGTCGCTTACCTTGGTCCTCAGAATCCTCCTTGAGGTCTAGGCCCGAGTGAGGGGCTTGCAGATCACCGGCCGACAGCGAGTTGTTGTTGGCTTCTGGCGTAGTCGGTGGCAATATCGAACCGGGACCGCCGGATCCATGGAGCCCCGTGATGAGGTGGTGGTGTTTGGTAGACGATATGCTGTTCGAGGTGGTCTCGTCGTCGTCTTCGTCCTCCGATCCTGAGTACGTCAACGAGTCGATACCTGAAAAACGAGCGTAGAAACAGATCGGTCAGATATATAACACCACACGATGAACTATAATATAATATATGTTTGTAATACGCTTGCGTTTATTTAACGTTTTGTATTTTATCGTACTGAATAACTACAAACAGATTATGTGTAGTGTGTGTCGGGGAAGGGGAGGGGAGTTTGGAAGAGCATTTATAACGTATATTATATTATATATACACTTACGCATCACGCGTTTGTGACGCGTGAGAACGAAACAGTATATAAAATACCGCAAATAGACACATATAGAGAAGGCGCGCAGAGGCGGAAAAAAAGAAAACAAAAAAAGGGGGTAAGAAAAACACGGGTCGGCGCACGTTTTGTTAAAAAGTATAGTATACATAATTGGCAGACGTTACGAACAAACACGTATAAATATCCAGAGGCGGAGGCGTCAGAGCTTGGTGAATAATATACACACACACACACACACACACAACAACAACACTAAGTACACACGTGTATGTGTATATAGGTTTATCCCCATATATATATATATATGTACGTATACACGTCCCTCGGAGGGTGCAGCGTCGAAGCGCGTTCAGGGTATATAAAATATATCCCTCTGGGTTGACTGTGGTGCGATTGGTTATGGACGAGGGGTAGATAGTGGTATGGTCGGGGGGGTGGGATAGGTTCGGGGACGCAGGAGAAGGACGCGACGCGATGGAAACAACGGGTGCGCGTGGAGAAGGGCTTACGACAATATTTGTTCAGGAATCAAACTCGATTACCCATTCGCGCCCGCGGGGCGTACTGCACGCGCGCCCGAGGACTAACCACGCTGATGCTGTGTAGCCGCGCTCGGGAGTATTAAACCAGCGTCTGCCGACGGGGATGATAGGAACGCGCCGGCTCACCGTTTCAGAGATATAATAATAATATACATATATAATACGTATATCTATAAACACACGTATACAAATACTCGACACACACACACACACACACACATATACTAATACTGCTGCTGGTGGTTATAGTATCCTGTGCAAACAATGCGGTTGGCAGATAGGAGGAAAAGGAGAAGGGTAGCTATATCGAGGCCGCCGAGTGTTTTGTGGGGGTGTATCGATGACAAAAATCCCATCACGAATTCAATCGCGTGTTCGGCGCTTTTTGCTCTCGTCCCTCTAGCGGCGGTGTATATATTATAATATACTTTACTATATTTATATAATATGATATTATATATTATTGAGTATACATATACGATGCGCATTACGTACGCATGTCACGCAAAAGGCTGTATGATCCACGCGCGTGCTGCCGAGTCCTAGCACAGATATTTGAAACACATATTACCTATATAATATTATAATGTGTAAAGGATATTTCGGGAACCGATCTAATTTTAATTCGGAATTCAATACGTGTACGGACGCAAAAATCATAAGCACTCAATACGTGACATTGTTTGCGTTTTCGTATAATGTACTACTAGTATGGGTATAAAAATCGAAAGCCAGGCCACCGGTGTATACACTCTATACATATATCCTATACGCTATACAAGCGCTTTTCGTATTTGTTATATCGTTTCATTCCAAAAACTATAAATGCGCAACATGCACACGAATCGTAATTAGAATCGAGCGAAAACAAACGCGGATTTTTATCGTCCAGAGTCGGCGGCGGAGGTTTGTCGTATAATAAGGGACATAGAACGAAAAGAATAAAAAGTTACGGTCTTTTTGTTGCACCGCGTGCATATGATATATAGTTATACACGGGTGTGCACATTCATATAATATAATAATAATAATAATAATAGTATATACCTACACCGCATAAAATCGTTTCTTTCGGAAGTTTTTGTACGGTAAATTAGCTAGGTAAAAAAAATAATATAATGTAACAATCGTAAAATAAAAAACGAATATATAGTATATGTACAATAATAAATGTGTAAAATACTGGGAGCTGGGTCATTACTGTCTTTTCGGGTTATTTTACAAGCTGCCGTATAATAACCGAGTAGGTTTTCGGCGTTATGTATAGTATTATACGCCCAAGTCGCAGTTCGGTATAAAGGATATTATATATTATATAAATATGGTTTTGAAGGATTTTTTTTTATGATCAACCCAGACCGACCGGAGTCTTTGGGCCGTCAAAACGATCGCAGGCGCTCATATTTACATATAACACGAATTTTTTACATAATTTATGCTCGAGGGACGTAGAAAAAAAAGTGACCAGAAAACCACCAGAATACCTGTCAATTTTTACGACCCGTCTTAGGTGTTCGGTTCTTTTATGATTTTTTTTCTTTTTATATAATATATATACATATTATACATGTGTACAATATTCATAATTTTTTATTTCATTATTATTATTTTTTTCCTAACTTCTCTGTCGGTCCCCTTGAAACGCTCCCGTACGCACATATACACGCACACATAATGTATAAATGTATATTGTATATATATATATGAAATATAATGACATTATCACCGTGTCCCGAACAGACGTCGGATTTGTTTCGAGCCATCGAAACGTCAAGTTTACGATCCACCGCCAGCCTGTTTGGTTCGAACCTCGAGAACGTGTGAAAAATACACATAACGTTATGAATTACAACTTTTTTCAAATTCCGTAATCTGGTCCCTCTCTGTTTCTCAGTCTCTCTCGCTCTCTCCGATCCTTCGCTTATTTCAATGGAACTTCACGTGTTTGAAATATAAGTATATACTATAAACGGCATTGGTGTATATAGTATTTAAAAAGAAAGACACGGACTGCACACACGATCTTTGACGAATTTACGATATACCACGTCAACCGCTTGGAATAACTATATACTGCAAATATATAATAATACGCACTCGTTATAATGTGTATTATTTAGCGCGTGCTTATTACATGCGTTTGGCACTTTGGAGTATTGCTTTTTCACCTTCTATTATATTTTCCAATCGAATTTAATATCGGCCCCGACGGTCGAGAGCAATTATATTTTACGACTGTTACACTGCAGCAGCATCATAATGTTTATGATATTATGTACGGAGGAAATCGACCAGTTCAAAATATAATATTATATCGATGGGATGCGGTGCTACAATAATAAAATAGGTATAGGTACATAAATATTATAATATCGAAAACCACAGTGGGATTTATGTGGAAATCTTTTTTCCACAGTCTGCGAACGGCGCTCATTGATATATGTCGCTCGCACCCGTCGCATACCGCGGGACTAGATAGATCGTAGCCTAATTGGATTCGTTAAGTGTCGGCAACTATAATACGGCACGCGTGCTGAGCTCACACCTGTGTGTGTGTGTGAATGAGCTCTGGTCGTATATGCGACTATATTATATCCATAAAACTTCTCGGGCGTCCGCCGTTTCACACCTTCTCCCGTGCCCGTTATATCGCGGACGGAATAATAATTACAAAAAAATAAAAAGTAGGTATATAAAAAAATAACACCACATATATATCTAACGACGACGTGGCCACTAAATCACTCGTGCCCGAAGACATGTCATTGTTTATCGTCGTTATTATTTTATTTTACTTTTTTTTCCTACCCGCGCGCGTCGTCTAATTTACGCCGCGGACGTCACGTAGTGTAATTTTTTTTTTATCATCTCTTTAGCCCGAAGCCGATTTACGATTCCTTCGGCCCGGCCGGAACGCGTGTCTGGGAATATAATATATACGCGTGTATAAAGAATAGAAGAAGAAAACACAATAACGCGATAACACTGCAGCATTAGGTAGGTTAGGTATATAGATACCTAGGCATCTATATAAAGTATACTCCTATATCAATACTAAATAGACAACATACCTATATAATATATATGTATATATGAAGACACTGCACCTATATAGCTATATGTCATATTCATATTATACACTCATTTGCAAAAGTAAATAGGTACATGGACTTTGAAAATATGACACTCTAGCAGCTGCAGGTTGCTATTAAAGGTAACGGAGCTGCACTATTGTGATGTGCGCGAGTGTGGCGCATCAGAGTACTAATTCGGAGACGTTTGGCGTCTGAAAATCTCGGCGACCGACACCATAATATATTATTATATTAAATAATAATAATAATAATATACTACTTGGGGCCGTTATAATCGCACCGTACATTATTATTGTTATATATAATATTATATTATATATTACAGTGTCTCTAATATATCACGTGTAGTACCCATTGTATATTATATATAGGGACATCGGTCGTGCGGCGTTGGAGGGAGGTGCACACCGTGCCAGGGCCGAGCGGCGGAGGGTCGTGTTGGCGGCGTCGACGGCGTAGTTCCCCCCGCGGCGACGCGGTAAAAAGGCAAACGGGCCCCCCGCCGAGAGCGGCCGCCGCACGACTCCTCTGTGTGCCGTCGGCTGCAGTGTATAGCGGCGGCGGGCGGCGGGCGGCGGCGGCGACGTATAGCCCGCGGGGCGTTTCGCGATTTCGACGTCGCCCGTCAGACGCAAAAGAACCGGCCGCCGCCGCCGTCGCTGAGGTCATCTCGTCCGTCGTCGTTACACCGCGAGCGTATATTATTATTATTATCATTATTATTATTATTATTATTTTATATAATATTGTATTTTGAACGTCCTATCGCGCCGCCGTCGCCAATCACGTCTCATCCGACGTACTCACGTACATGATACTCGTGTGCGAATAAAAATAATGTAATGTATTCCCATACATTATAATATATAGGTACATTATATGCGGTTATAACCTGTATTTTGAGTTACGAATCGCAATTTAGAAACGGAATATTCATCGGAACCGCGAATAAGAAAACTCTAAACAATATAGTATATAAATGCGCGTCGTGTATCGAAGAACATAATACTATACTTTTGATATAATTCGTTTCATTCGAGCTTATATTATATATTTCCCGCTCAGGAAGTAATAATTTATCTATTCCCGGGTTCACGCAATGTTTTTCCATGCATAAACGCGAATTTTTCGTTGT